ATCTGCCTGCGAGGTCGGATCGAGATCAGCGAGCGGGATATCACTGGGAAGTGCTCCTCGTCTTGCAGCACCCAGTCCCATCTGGGAGCCTTCCTCAACCATGGCTGCATCAAGATCTCAGCCTGCGTCACCAAGCGCTCGGGCTGGGCCCGCTGGTTCCTGCGCTGTGACATCTGCGAGTGTGACTGCCACGTCCCGTGTGGTCAGTCCCAGTAGTGGCTGCCAACCTTTGGTAAGGGCCTGCTCAAATGTTTCATGGGAAGGGTTGGCACTGAGAGTTGGGGACAGGCAGAGTTGAAAATGCTGCTCTTGCTCTCCTTACAGTTTCCTCTGGGTAGAATTGGGCTACCTGGGATTGTGGCCACTGGCCCCACACCGAGGAAGGCTACCACCCTGGATGTCTGCTTACCTTTGCCATGTGTTTGCATCACTGTGCTCCTTCCTTAAGTTCCGTCCATCCCAAAGCTGTCATCTGAGAGGAGAGGAGATGTTCTGGACTCACTGTCTTGCAGGGCTGCCTTCCTGCCTGGCCCCATCCCGTGACTCTCCGGTGTTAGGGGATGCTCTGCGAGCAGCAGGCGCTGGGGAGCTGCATGTGTTTCCTGCAGCTGGGCTTGGGGATGTTGGTGTCTTGGTCTCTCTTTGCCTGGTGGCTTCCTGGAGGAGGCTTATGTTCCCTTTTGTTGCAGAAGTATCTGTCCCATCCCTGTGCTGCAGGTTGTGATTCCTCTCTGCCAGGTAATTCCTGCAGCCGGGCCAGGGTCTGGCCTGAGAAGTAGATCTGTCCTCTGTGTTTGCTGCAGCCATCAGGAAGAGCTGGAGCATGGGACCTGCCCCCTATCCCCGTGCCATGGGCAGAGCTTGCAGGGCAGAGGAGCGTAGCCAGGGCTGCACCACCCATTGCTGAGGAATCAAGTGTCAAAGTAGGACAAACTGACCTACAGCCTCCCTGGGGCCAGGACAGCTAACTGCGTGGGGGAAGGTCTCAGCTCCCAGGTGCAAAGTCTTTCCCGTGACCTGATCTGCACACTGGCTGCAGGGCTGTGCTCCTTCCAGGGGTCTACAGTTTTGCGCTGAGAGCCCCTTTCCACAGGGACTTCTCTCCCAGCAGCTTGGGGCCACAAAGGGACATGGTAGCCAGTGCCCTGCAGCAAAGATAGGTAAGGAGATGTAAGGCGAGTGTCCTGAGCACAGCAGGGCCCTTTTTGGTCATGTAGCTGGAGAAAGAGACCCCCGGTGTGGGCCCACAATGACTCCTTCCAGGCATCTGGGGCTGTGGGCTCTCACTGCCTACCATGGGGCCTCTTAGCCTGCACACGGCTGCTATTAATGTGGCCCTTGGCAGGAGCAGCCATCGTGGGTACTGCTGTAACCCTCTGCTATGCCACCTCTCTTCCCAGGAGGGAGTTTCTGACCAGGCTCCCTTCCCTAAATTCTTTGTTCTCCCCACTGGCCCGTCACTTCTCACTGGGGCGATGCTCAGTGGGTTGCATTCATGCTGATGCTGGTACCCGTCTCCAGCTGGGAACACCCTTGTGCTCCCTGAGGACCGCCCTGTCTCCCTCTGAAGCAGCAGTGGAAAAGCCAGTCGTTTTTATTCCCCCAGGGAAGGAGAAGGTGGGCTCGAGCACATCTGATGGGATTGCTAGGGGAGCTGGAGGACCAGTAGCACTGCCATGGGTAATTAAAAATGTGTTTACAGGAAATCATGCAGGTTTTCCAGTCATGCAAAGAGATTCTGCTGCCAGCTCTGTCCCCAGAGACCTGGACATACATGACAGAGCCAAGACAGGCTCCCTCTTCCACTGACACTGTTCTGGTCATGTAAGCCACCATAGGGACAGAACTATGGTCGAGGCCACGGTAGGAAGGTCCTAGCTGCAGACCAGATGGATGCTGAATGTGCCCACAGCACTGGCCACCAAGCCTTTGTGGGCACTGGACTGCCATCCCTGCTGGCCTTCCATCTTGGAATGACTCCACAGCAGGATGCTGCAGCAGCTACCAGCTTGGCCTCAGGAGCTCCCGACCCAGCCTTGAGCAGTTGAGAAGGAAGGGACTTTAGCATCAAGGGGCTTGACTCCCAGACCCTGCTTGTGCCCACCTGCAGGGAAGCAGGGCTAGGATGAGACCTACTAACGGTGAGTGCCCTAGGGATGGGAGTCAGCGTGCTGAACACAGAGCAAACCAGATGGGTCTGGCGTGCCTTTTGCTCCATGGGGAGATGACTTAAAACCTCCACGTGGGGTTTGGTTCCACAACCACCTCCTTGTACCCTCCCCCTGCCCAGCCTGTGGGCTGCCCTGCCCCACAGCCTCACTGCTGGCTGTACCCCACTCTGCCAAGGAGCCAAATCACTGCCCTAAGCTCTGTCCCAGCCCAAGGCTGGCTGTGGGAGGGGAAAGCTTTCCTTGGCTCAACAGATGGTTTTTTAATTAATACTCTTGTTAGTGCCGCTCATTTCCATATGTCTTTCATGTTTAAGTGCTGTGGTGGGTGAGAGGTGTGAGTAACAGTGAGGATGGAGCCAGCGCTGTGCTGCGGAGGGTGGAGGTGCAGGGGGATGGCAGGTCCCCCGCAATGATCTGCAGAGGGGAGTGTGTGCTGGAGGCAAAGCCCTGGGGACGGGGGGTGTGCTGTCCTATCAAGGACCTTTGTGGCCAGCTGTAGCCCCACCAGCCCTGGCTGTTGATGCCTGGTGTGGGCTTCCCAGGCAGTCCTCTGCATTGCAGCCTGAGTTCACCCAGCTTGTGCCCCCACTGGGGTGGCTGCTCAGTGCTGCAGCCCCTGCCCCAGGTCAGTGCAGGGCTGACTAGGGGGGCCAGGAGTGTCCTGGGTGGGAGCGGACTTATGGGGTGTTGGGCTCATGGGGTTTTGGGCTGAGGCGGCAACGGAGGAGCTGCGGTGGGCTCTGTCCCCATATGTGAACAGCAGCGGGGAGGGGTGCTGCAGGGTTGCGGAGACAGGGCTGGCAAACCCCGGGCTTGGCGCTGGGGATGCTCAGGGCCTTCGGGCTTGCGGAGAGAGGAAATAGAGC